AAAGCATTTTAATAATTTTTTCATTATGCTCCGTTAAATTTATAGTATTCTTTATGGTATTGTTTCCAGTTTTTTTTTTTAGTAAAAAAATGATTAATTATATAGGAATGTTACCTCATTTTTTAAATATGTAGAAATCAATATTTTGAATAATTTATTCAATAGCTGCAACCTTTGCTTGGTTTTAATTTTTCGAGATATTGTAGCAAAAAAAAAAAATTGCTATTGTTACATGGAATTTTGCTAATATATGTATATACGAAAATATAATTTATCTTTTATATTTGTTAATATATATTTTGATAAATATCAACTTAACAAACTGTTACTTGTATATAAAAAAAAATACGAATTTAATATTAATAAAATAATCAAAGAAACTAGCTAACTTGAAAATAAATATGATATAAATTTTAATTTAAAAGTATGAATATTTTTTTTTTTGATATTAATTTATATTGTCGAATCAACTTCATTATCGATATTAATTTTAAAATTAAATATATTGCATTACATTAATATTCGTAATCTCAACAAAAAAGAAAATGCCCCTATAAAATGCTTCTATAATTCTAAAATCAAAATAAATAAACTTTCAGAAAAATTATGACTTCAAAGAGAATTCTCATATGAAAGTTTTCGAATGTTTTTTTATCAACATCATCAGTAATTTACAAATTCTTTCACATTCGAACAGAAAAGTATTCCAATTTAGAATACTCGTCGAGCAGCAATACCATTAAAAATGCCGCTCGAAGTGAATAAAATACTCGAGAATGAAGTAATTTAATATAGTGACTGAAGAATTAGTAGAAGAGAGAAAAATGATTTTTTTCTTTTATTCAATTTGATATCGTGATTATAGGAGGACAACAAATCATATTATAGAAAATATTACGTATAAAATATATTGTAAAAAATACGAATAGACAAAACTTGCATAATAAAATCAGATCAAATCATACTCATTATTCTCTGCAAATGTAACGAGTCCATTGTTCGAATTAATAGAAAATAATTCGAAAACAACACGAAGTAATATTCTTTCCTGGTCTGTCATAAATCTAGTGAGTTTTTCACGAAATTCAAATTAAAATATCTTCTAATCAAACGTCAGTTCCTTCCTATTGTGAAATTAAATTAATACTTTTTTAGGGAACGATAATACTATATCGATTAATATATTACCCTTTCAAAAATTTCAGAATAATTTTATTTATCAGAAAGGTTCAAATGTTACGTAACATATTTTCATTCTACTCAGTTTTTTAATAACAATGCATTGCAATAGTGTATATACACTTTAATTATTTTTGTCAATTTCGAGCGAGCCGATATTTTCAATAGCATCTGAATTTTGCATCGTAATAATAAAGCCCCAGCTTCACACTTCGATACTTGTTCGCAACTTTTTGCTCGAAAATTCAATAAATCTCATTTCATAAATATTCATTCGATTATTTCGAACGTCGATTTGAATTTATGATAAAACAAAATTCCCCAACAGGATAGTAAGCGCCATCTGAAAAATTGAGTTTTCACAATGTTTTCAAACGTTGGCAAAAATGTAGTGTATTGCGAGCAATAAGAATTAGATTAAACTAGATTACGTCTAAGCGCGAGAGTAAGGTGAAAATTTCATTTTTATTTTCGAATAAGATTTCACTAGAAAAAAAAAAAAAAAAAAGAAAAAGATTCAAAATTATAATGAGATATAAAATTCATGAGACCAGAGTTTTGTGAAGATCAATAATATCGATGTGATATTTGGAAAAAGTAAATGTAATATCCACAATTTATTTTAATATACGAGAAAAGATTAACGATTCTTTATTTTTTTACATGTATAAATTCGAGTGCTCATTCTCGATGCTTAAAAGAGCATTGATTTCATTCTTTATAGTTACTCCATTTAACCCATTTCCCAAGTGCATTGAACGATAATTTTAAATTCGGCAACTATCGACTCGTGTACTCGTAACCTGACTACGTTTTTCTTTAATTCCCCCTGACCCGTGAAATTGAAATTGAAATCTGAAATTTAAATGTGCCATCCCAATAAAACCGGAAGGTGATATTCGACGAGTGTCGAGAAAGGTTAAAGGAAATAAAAGGGAAACTGTCGGGATCGCTCCAATAAGCAACAGCAAGATAATTGCTCCGCTGACGGAGTAAAGACGTTCCGATTTCCCTTATTGAAATTCTTTCTTTTTTTCTCTCCCTCTCTCTCTCTCTCTCTCTCTCTCTCTCTCTCTCTCTTCTCT